TTGTCTTTCGGCAATTTAGGGTATCCACAGAACTCTCCACCAGCAGCGCATTTGAAATGAGTTGATTCTCTTCCTATCAGTTTTCTTTACTGCCCAGTTTTCACAACTATACATAAAAATTGGCATAGACAATTCTGGCTTTGGTGTCCAATGATAAATCTTTGAAAATTTTGCCTAGTTCCTTCGCAGCTGCACATTTATTGTCATCTCAATTTTTTTCTGTAATTCCCAATCTGATTAATGACAGAGTCAAAGTATGGTCATTTAAAAGTCCTCACAGTCAACTTTATATTTATGTAAATCATCTGTAGTAATGCTTTTTGTTTAATATTTGCCTGTAAACCTGCCTTTGCACATTTTCTTCCCTGACTTTTTTTCAATTATCATTCCAAGTCTTTGCTATTTTCTGCTAGTAATATGGTGTCATCTGCACAATTTAAATTATTGATGTTCCACCAATTTTATGCCTCCTTCTTCTAAATCTAATCTAGCTATACGTATATTTTGTTCCGTGTACAAGTGAAATAGACAGAGTGATAAAGTGCACCCTTGTCATATCACCTTGCAAACTGGGAACTGTTGTTTTTCCTTATTTAGTTCTGATGAAGGACTTTTGTCCTGAGTACAACTTTCATTTGTAGTAGCCCTGGGAATGAGATCTGCAAGAGCCCTGATCAGGGCTGCTATATTTATCACCTTTTAGTCTTCCTGGGGAACAGATTAAATCCAGAAGACTGAGGGGAAGCAAATGCCTACCCCATTTTCCAAATGTGGGGTACAGAAAACCTGAATAGCTATTGACTCCTGTGCTTGATGTCAATACCAGAAAAGTTCTAAAGCAGAGAGAGTACCCAGGGTCACCCAGCGTGTTTTTCTAGTCAGGTGGCATTCAAACACTGTTCTCCAGGGTCAGAGTCCAAAGCAAAAACCACTATATCACACTGGCTCTGGGTTTTGTGTGTGTGTATCAGGAGCAACTTGAGAAACTGCAAGTCGATTCTGGTGTGACAGAATTGGCTGTTTGCAAGGATTTGAATTGGAGGAGTGGAGTGAGCTCCCATCTCTCAGCTCTAGCTTTTCATATAGGGACATGAGAAAAGCCTCCCACAGGATGGTAAAACATCTGGGCATCCCTGGGGCAATGTCCTTGCAGACTGTTTCTGGTGGAGGAATAGGAAACCTTTAAAGTTTTGGGCCATGCTGCAGAGCATTTTCATTGCTCCCATCTGTTGCTCTACAGCTGGGAATTCCAGAGTTTAATGTGAGCTCTGAAAGAGCTATCCAAGGTGCTGAATCCCATCCTCAAGTTCACTTTGTGTCAGATCAGGGTTTAATGTAAGCTCCAAAGGGACTGTCAAAGATACTAAACTATAGCCCAAAACAAGTTTTGCACTTTGAATTGCTGGTTTTTTGTTTAAAAAGATGTCTAAACTAACTCAGAAGGTGGAATCTCCACCCATTTAATGAAATCTGCAAAAGTCAAAAGCATAATGTGGATGGTCCAATGTACACATGAAGATCAGCTGGTTATGGATGGTTCCATATTTTAGTATGGTTCACATGTTGCAGAAGCAGACTTCCCTTAAGACAATATGCATTTTATTCCCTGCAGCCCCTATTTGCATTCATGCACAGACAGTCCTTCAAGTCATCCTTCCTATGGCAACCTTATACTTTTCTTCAAGTAAAGAAAGCTCAGAGGTGGTTTGGATCATTCCTCCCTCTGAACGATAGCCTAGAGTACCATTTGTTGTTGTTGCTTTTTGGCATTCTCCCATTCAAGTACCAACCAGAACTGATCCTGCTTATATTCCATGACAAATGAGATCTGGTGACTTTGTGATATTTAGACTGATTACTGTTTACCTGCATCCCCTAGTGGCGCAGTGGGTGAAACCACTGAACTGCTGAACTTCCTGACTGAAAGATTGGCAGTTCAAATCCAGGGAGCAGGGTGAGCTCACACTGTTAGGCCCAGCTTCTGCCAACCTAGCAGTTCGAAAACATGCAAGTGTGAGTATATCAATAAGTACCACTTCTGCAGGAAGGTAACGGTGCTCCATGCAGTCATTCTGCCCACATGACCTTGGAGGCATCTATGGACAATGCTGGCTCTTCAGTTTAGAAATGGAGATGAGCACCACCCTCCAGATTTGGACATGACTAGACTTAATGTCAGGGGAAACCTTTACCTTTACTACTGTTTACCTTCAATTCATTTTTTACTTATGGTGACCTATGAATCTACCAAGGGCAAGATTTGTTCAGTGAGAGTCTGTTTTTGCCTCCCTCTCAGGGAGTATGATTTATCGAAAGGTTTCTATGGATGAGCAAGGATTCAAACCTGGACTCCAGACTTAGAGTCAAACCACAACACCATACTGACTCTGCATGTAGGCTAAAGCATTGCAAACATATGCTTTAAGAGGTCCTTGAAACTTGTTCAAGGGTGCATCTGTGGAGTGAATGCAGTTTGACACCACTTGAACTGCCATGGCTCAATACTATGGGATCCTGGGAGCTGTAGTTTGGTGAGACACCAGTACTCTTGGGAAGAAGGCTAAAGGCTAAAACTACCAATGCAATGATTTGATTAAAGCAACATCAAACCACATAAAGTTTATAATACAGGTCCACCTTCCAAGAAAGTCAACTCTTCCTTCACCAAATAAAAAGGAAGTTGTTGACCAAAGAGGCAAAAGAGTCACCATTCCTCAATGACATGACAGGGTGGGGACAACCCTAAGACTGCTGCAGCACAGAGCTGCACAGACTCTACTATTTTCATCAGAAGGGCAAAGGGATCTGCATGAAGTTCCTGTCTCCTCTTTGTAAAAACCTGTGAGAATTCAGGGCCCTTCTGGCGAGGGAACTCTCTGTCCCATCACCCTCTCAAACTCATGAGGTGGGATCAAGGGACTCCTTGGTGTCCTCCCAGTCTCTGGAACTCCCTCCCAAGAGATACCAGGATGGCCCAGTCCCTGACTGCCTTTCCCAGGCACATGAAAATGTATCTCGTTATCAGGCATTTGGTGAAATTGAGTGGTAGGCTGCTGTGGTTGTTGTTTGTGGAGTGTGTGTGTGTGTGTGTGGGGGGGGGATAAGTACAGTTTTTAATTATTTTTTAAATTATATTTCATTGATTTTATGCTTCAAGGGCCATGGTGGAGCAATGGGTTAAACCGCTAAGCTGTAGAACTTGCTGACCGGAAGGTCAGTGGTTTGAATCTGTGGGATGGGGTGAGTTCCTGTTGTTAACCCTAGCTTCTGCCAACCTAGCTGTTCAAAAACATGCAAGCATGAGTAGATCAATAGGTACTGCTTCGGCAGGAACGTAATGGTGCTCCATGCAGTCATGACGGCATCAATGGATAACACCGGCTCTTTGGCTTAGAAATGGAGATGAGCACCACCCCCCCCCCCCCCCCCCCCCCCCCCCCCCCCCCCCCCCCCCCCCCCAGAGTCGGACACGGCTAGACTCAATATCAAGAGGAAACCTTTACCTTTTAACCTTATGCTTCATGGAAAAATAGATTTTTAAAAATGTTTCTCAAGTTGCTTCTGACATGAAAAAAAATTGTCAGTGGTTGTGAGATCTGTTGGATACTAGACAAGTGGAGTTTATGTATCTGTAGAATGTCCAGGGTGGGAGAAAGAACTCTTGTCTGTTTGTCTGCCAGGCTACTCAATGCTAATCAAGGTGACCAATTGAAACATTCACACCTACCTCCAACAGACAAGAGTTCTTTCTCCCACCCTGGACATTCCACAGATACATAAAGCTCACTAACTTAGAGAATGGGTTGCTGTAGGTTTTTCGGGCTGTATGGCCATGTTCTAGAAGCATTTCACCCACATCTATGGCAGGCATCCTCTGAGGTTGTGAGGTCTGTTGGAAACTAGGCAAGTGGAGTTTATAGATCTGGGGAGTGTCCAAGGTGGGAGAAAGAACTTTTGTCTGTTGGAAGTAGGTGTGAAGGTTTCAATTGGCCACCTTGATTAGCACCTAATAGACTGTATGGCCATGTTCCTGAAGCATTCTCTCCTAAAGTTTTGCCCTCATCTGTGGCAGGCATCCTCAGAGGTTGAAGACAAACTAGGCAAGTGACGTTTATATACTTGTGGAATGTCCAGAGTGGGAGAAAAACCTCTTGTCTGCTTGAGGCAAATGTGAATGTTGCATTTGGCCACCTTGATTACCATTTAATGGCCTGTAACGTTTTGCCTGCATTTATGGCAGGCATCTGTGGAATGGGTTGTTGTAGGTTTCTCGGGCTGAATGGCCATGTTCCTGAAGCATTCTCTCCTGACGTTTCACCTGCATCTATGGCAGGCATCCTCAGGAGAGAATGCTTCTAGAACATGGCCACACAACCTGAAAAACCTACAACAACTCAGTGATTCTGACCATGAAAGCCTTGGACAGTATCTGTGGAATGTCCAGGTTGGGAGAAACAACTCTTCTCTGTTTGTCTGCCAGGCTATTCAGTGCTAATCAAGGTGGCCAATTGCAACTTTCACACTTGGCTCCAACAGACAAGAGCTTTTTTTTTCTCCCACCCTGGGCATTCCACAGATCTATAAACCCCACTTGCCTAGTTTCCAACAGACCTCACGTCTGAGGATGCCTGCCACAGATGCGGGCGAAACGTCAGGAGAGAATGCTTCTGGAACATGGCCAAACAGCCCGAAAAGCACACAGCAAGCCAGTCTACCGGCTGTTAGGAATTGTGAGAGCTGAAGTCCAAAACAGCAGCGCGTCGCCGTCCTTCTTGGATCCTGGTGCCCGGAGCTGGAGCCAGCGTGGTTCCAGGTGACTTGCTTGTGCCTGAGCCCAACTCCCGCCATTCCTCGCCTCTCCGCCCAAAGCGTTCCGGACGGGAAGGCTGTGGCGAGGAGAGGCGTCCCCTTCGGCTTGGCCCCTCCCCTGCTCGCCTTTGCCTCCCGAAGCGCAGTCAGTCCGACTCCCGGCCAGGCAGGCAGGCGGGCGGGCAGGCAGGGTTCGCGGCGCGCAGCCCAAGCGCCTCGGCATGTGAAGCGCCTCGGCGGGCAACGGGATGTACTCCGCCAACGGGACCCGGAGCGACCTGGACCCGGACCCGGAGCAGCAGCAGCGGGAGGAGGAGAGAGAAGCGGCGGCGGCGGCGGGGGTCTCGCCCTTCAGCGCCGGGACCTACGAGCTGCTGGCCCTGCTGGTGGCCACCATCGGCCTGCTGGGCTTGTGCAACAACCTGCTGGTCCTGGTGCTCTACGCCAAGTTCAAGCGGCTCCGGACGCCCACCCACCTCTTCCTGGTCAACATCAGCCTCAGCGACCTGCTGGTCTCCCTCTTCGGGGTCAGCTTCACCTTCGGCTCCTGCCTCCGGCACCGCTGGGTCTGGGACGCCGCCGGGTGCGTCTGGGACGGCTTCAGCAACAGCCTTTTCGGTAGGGAACACCCGAAAGGAAAGACATCCCGCCAAAAAGGGTGGGGAGGGGGGCTACGCGAGGGGCAGGGTGCCTCTGTGCATGTGCAGAGGGCAGCAGGCGTCTGCGTCCCGGAGGAATGTATGCTTGTATTGGGTGGAGAGATGCTCTGTGCCAGGCATTCCTTTCCGGAGCTATTCTGCACTGTTGAATTATCGGATGGACAAGCTTGGGCCCTCCAGGTGTTTTGGACTTCAAGTCCCACCATTCCTAACAACCTCGGGTTCCTTTCTTTTCTCCTTCAGCCTCTTAAGCCTCTTGGACTTCAACTCCCACCATTCCTAAGAGCCTCGGGCCCCTTCCTTTTCCCCCTCAGCCTCTTAAGCATCTTGGACTTCAACTCCCACCATTCCTAACAGCCTCAGGCTCTTTACTTTCCCCCCTCAGGCACTGAGGGGAAAAAGGAAAGGGCCTGAGGCTGTTAGGAATGGTGGGAGTTGAAGTCCAAAACACCAGGAGGACCCAAGATTACCCATGCCTGGTCTAGGCACTCCTGTCACTTCGCTTGAGGGTCAGTCTTCACTGTAATCCTTAGGGAGAGTTGCTCTGGTTTCAGGGCAACACTGGGCTCCTGAATCCAGGTGGCCCTCCATAGCCACACATTCCATATCTGTGGATTCATCCATCCAAGTCCGGATCAAAATTAGTCCTGAAATATCAAACCTCTGTCCCACCATTTTAAATAAGGGTAAAGAAGGGGCACCATTTTCTTGTAGCATTGTATGTAATATGATTTGAGCACCACTGGATGTTGGTATCCATAGGGGCTCTGGACCCAACTCCAGTGAAAATGAAGGGTCTCTTGGATCACTAGGCATTGGGAAAATGAACTCTGCTCTGGCACACTGCTTCTCTCACTTCCCCTGTTGGGAGAGGCAGCTGCCCTTCTAGTGGACTTGGTCCCTCTAGGACTCCAAGATTACCTTCTGTGTTGCCTTCACCCACTCCTTGAACTGGAATGTCTTGTATCATTATATTTGATGACATAGGAGCCACGGTGGCACAATGGGTCAAACCTGCATTTCTCAACCTGTGAATCGGGACCCCAGGAGAGGGGGTCATGAGGGGATGTCATAGGGGTCACCAAAGACCATCAGAAAACATAGTATTTTCTGTTCATCATGGGGGTTCTGTGTGGAAGATTTGGTCTAATTCTATCACTGGTGAGGTTCCAAATACTCTTTGATGGTAGGTGAATGATAAATCCCAGCAACTACAGTTCCCAAATGTCAAGGTCTAGTTTCCCCAAATTCCACCAGTTTTCACATTTGGGCATACTGAGTATTCATGCCAAGTTTGGTCTAGATCCATCATTGTTTGAGTCCCCAGTTCTTTCTAGATGTAGGTGAACCACAACTCCAAAACTCAAGGTCAACGCCCACCAAAACCTTTCCCATATTTTCTGTTGGTCATGGGAGTTCTGTGTGCCAAGGTTGCTTTCATTCCATCATTGGTGGAGTTCAGGATGCTCTTTGATTGTAGGTTAACTATAAATCCCAGCAACTACAATTCCCAAACCCTTGTGTTGGCTGAACTGCTGACTTGCAGGTCAATGGTTTAAATCCGCAAGATGGGGTGAGCTCTTGTCTGTCAGCTGCAGCTTTCCATGAGGGAACATGAGACTTCCCACAGGATGGTAAAATATCAAACATCCGGGCATCTCCTGGACAACGTCGCTGCAGACTGCCACTTCTCTCACACCAGAAGCAACTTGCAGTTTCTCAAGTCACTTCTGACATGATAAAAAATATGATGGGATATAATGGGCCATGTCTCTAAACATGGATGGAGTGCATTTCGGGTCCCACCGGGAAACCTACTGTTTGTTTTTGCACACTTCATCCTTTAGAGTTCCAACTGGTTTTCTGCTTTTCTCTTTGTGATCTTGTATTTATACTCCTGACTGTATTTATCTTGATGTTCAGTGTATCTACACCATGGGCTTCCTGTCATTCTGTCTCCCATCTTCTGCTAGGCAGGTGTGCTCCTTTTTGCATCCTCTTGCGCTGGCCTCACACTTATCACTTCACTGCAGAAGGTGGCAGGGAAACTGTATTAATACCACAAAGCAATTACGGTATCATCAGCAGGAGAGGTTTGAGCAGAACCAGCCGGGCAAATTATTGTGTTTTGCTCCATTGTTAATCCTGCTGTCTTCATTTGTTCTTTAAAAGAGGCAGAACTGACAGTGTTCTATGGGTAGCAAAGATTAGCAGAACTCATCTCCATATTGATGCTTTTGCCAAAACATTCTTACCTTTTATAGCAGTGCTTCACACCTGTTTTCCACTTCCTTAGCATCCCTGGTGCTCTAATTGCCACTCTCAATGTAGCAAGCCTTTCCATTACAAGAGGATCCTAATTGGGTTGCTGTGAGTTTTCTAGGCTGTATGTTCCAGAAGCATTCCTTCCTGACGTTTCTCCCACATCTGTGGCAGACATCTTCTGAGGTTGTGAGGTCTGTTGGAAACTAGGTAAGTGGGGTTTATATATCTGTGGAATGTCCTGGGTGGGAGAAAGAACTCTTGTCTGTTTGTCTGCCAGGCTATTCAATGCTAGTCAAGCTGGTCAGTTGCAACATTCACACTTGCCTCAAACAGTCAAGAGTTCTTTCTCCCACCCTGGACATTCCACTGATATATAAACCCCACTTGCCTAGGTTCCAACAAACCGCACAACCTCTGAGGATGCCTGCCACAGACATGGGAGAAACATCAGGAGAGAATGCTTCTGGAACATGGCCATACATCCCGGAAAACTCACAGCTACCCAGTGATTCTGACCATGAAAACCTTTGACAACACAATATCCTAATTATTTCACAAAATTTTTACTTTGCTAGGATTGCATTACCCATTCATTTATCTCATAACAAGCAACTTTTATCAATCAGACACCATCCAAGGACTACAGTTTTTATCATCTTTAAATAATATAAGGGATTCACTGTGGGAACTGTGATTCAGCACTTCTACAAGGCACAACAACGTTGTTATGGGGTGGCTATATGTATGTGTGTGTATATACACACACACACACACACACACATATATATATATATACACACACATACAGAAACACATGAATATATACACACACAGTATATGTATATGTATATGTATGTATGCACACATACATACCTCATTTATGGTGTCACTTACTAGCATCTATTGAATCTTGTCTCATTCCATTCTTTTCCTGATCACCTCTGTCTTTACCCACAGCTCTTATTATATATCACACTACACACACACTATGTATATATCACCCCCAGCTCCTTTGTAATTAACCTTTCTTACCCTTATACCCATACTTTCCACATCCAAGACCTCTGGTGTTATTATTCCCAATTTTCAGCAGGTTTAAGCATGGCATAATGGTTTCAGCACTGGACTTCCAGTTCTGGAGACCAGAGTTCAAATTCCTGCTCAGCCAAGAAACTTACTGGGTGACCTTGGGCAGGACACACTCGCTGAACCTCAGAGGAAGGGAATGTAGCATCTCCTCTAAGCAAATCTTGCCAAGAAACCCCTGTGATGGGTTTGCCATCGTAAGGTTGCCATAAGTTGGAAACAACTTGAAGGCACACAACAGCAGAAATGGCATTTACTTCCATTCATTTCTTCCAACCCTTGTGTTTACCCCTCCCTCCCTTTGTCTGTGGACTATTTTAGATTGGAAGTTTCCTGGGAGCAGGGATTTGTTAAACTCTGAAAGGTGCCTTGTACATTAATTAATCCTGCTTTGTGAACTATCTTCTCCATTTGTGATGTGCAGGCTATAATTACTGTTGTCCATGTAAAAAACCTCACCACTTGCTTAAAAGAGGGATGTATCCAGAGGCTCAGAGAAAACCTCAAGTTTGCAAGTGTACCAAAATCTTAGGAGGGAAAAATAAAGGGATGGAGAACTAAAGGCAACTCGGTGCTTAGTGAACAGACTGAGGCAAGCAAGGAGAAAAAACTAGAAAACTGGATGAGATTTTGTATCTGAGAGAAGATACATCTGACTGGCTGAAAGATGAAAAAGAAGAGAATGGCGGAGGTTCCTTCTTTGGAGGCTTTTAAACAGAGGCTGGATGGCCATCTATCAGGGGTGCTTTGAATGCAATTTTCCTGCTTCTTGGCAGGGGTTGGACTGGATGGCCCATGAGGTCTCTTCCAACTCTGTGCTTCTATAAGTCTTCCTCATTGCAACAGTTTCTTGCACATTGTGGTGCTCCTACTACTAATATCTCACTCACAGTACAATGCCACCCCAGTATTCACTGGACCAGTATTAATAGTTTTATTTACCCACGTTTGCCAAATATATTATCTTTTGGCATTTTCTAGGTCCTCCGGCACAACTCTATGGTATTATTGAACCAAAGGTCCATCATTTTAATACGTTTTACTGCTATCTGCAGTTTCATCTGCCCACTTGAAATGTAAAAACATTTACTTTGCAGATACAGAGGTCATACGGTATTCTATTTTAAGCATAATTCCATCTGTTGTCTCATTGCTTTCACATTCCCTTAAGGTTATTGGATAACCTTCCACCTTCTTTTGGATGTATCTCCTATTTCTCCATCTGTTTCCTTTCCTATACCACAAGCCAGTCATTCCAAAATTTTGTACACAATGACTGAGTAGGGTCTCTCATCCCAAATGGATTTTTCACAATAAATCACAGTGATTACTGATCTACCAGATGTGAAAAACCTTAAGCAAATCAAACTTACACTGTTTTGTTTATTACTAAATAGGATGATATTTTCCACAGAGCTTTCAGTTTGCCAACAACATAACTAATTGACTAGGTAAAACTTATCACAAACAGTTTGAAAAATTGGCATTTTTTTAAAAAAAAGCATGCTTTTGACTTCATCTTCATTCTTATTTGCAGGCACAAATATCATAAAAGCACTCTTAAATAGATATGCATTGCAAAGTGATACGTCCTCAGTTTACTTTTAA